GTGAGCAGCGACAACGGCGAGCAGCAGGAGGCGCGAGCAGCGACAGAGGCAGCGTTTGTGAGCAGCGATAGTGGCGAGCAGCGGCAGCGGGAGCGGGAGCAGGAGCGGCGAGCAGCAAGAGGCGCGAGCGGCGACAGAGGCAGCGTTTGCGAGCAGCGACAACGGCGAGCAGCGAGATCGGGATCGGGATCGGGAGCGGCAGCGGCAGCGGCGAGGGTTAGGGTTGGGTTCTCACTTATATCGATTTTAGTTGGTTCGATTGAACCAACTAACCATCAGAGACCGAACCAGACCTAAAATCCTGGTTCGGTCGCCTTGGTTAACCCAGGCGCTCGCCCGAAGCGCCCAGGCGGCGCCTGTTTGAAGCGCGCCGCCTGGGAGATTAGTGAGGCGCTCGGGCCTCGCCTCGCCTTGCCCGAGTGCCTAGGCGAGCACCCGAGCGTCTTTTTAAATCACTGAGCTGCATATGAGAGCAATCATACGATTGCTTCTCATTTGGCTTGTGTGGTCTTATTTTTTGTTGTACTACCTATGTTGTGAAGCTGCATGTTGCCATATTCAAGTTAATAAATATGAAAATAAAGTTTGGTTTATATTTTTATTTTGTTGTTTTTATTTTTAGTACTATTTTGTAATTGATGAAATTTGTGGTCCTTAATAAAGTAATTTTGATCACGTAGATCCTTGTAACTCACTACTGAAATAGCTTGACAGATGAGTACAAAATCATCCAATAAAATTTTGCTGAGCTGTAGCACACATCTCCTGTTATTCTGTTTACAATATTCTAATGCATTTTTATAATGTATCTTCAGTAAAAAAAGGATCCTCAGCATGGCTAATACTGTGTATGTGACCTTGAGGTACCCTATGTTTGTTTTGTTGTGGACTGCAGCTTATGTTATACATGCAATATCATGATTTTTATCTTATGCGCCACTTGTATGTTTTTTCTTCGAGTTGAATCGTTTGGAGAATTTATCTGGCTCCTTTATATGCGAGCTCTATTATTTATTTGATGTGGGAAGCTGAATCGAACATTTTTTTATTTTATCATCACAATATGAAAATTCTTACGAAATAATTCTGGTATAATAATTCTTTTCCAGATTATGAAGCTACTGAAGCTTTTTGTTGCTTATGAGAAGGATTCTGATGTCAAATTATTGATAATGAAGGTAAATTAATAACTCATCTAGTACTAATTTACAGAGAATGTCAACCTTCACTTATGTTGCCTTTTTTAGCTTGTGCATGTGAGAAATACTTCATTAGAGCTAGAAGCACTAATTCATGGCATGTCTATCATCTGAAGGAATTCCAATAATTCATAGAGACCAATTCAGATAGCCAATCACTTAAGGTTTTTTTGGCTATTTGGATTGCTCATGTTTCCTTGATGCATGCTTTTCGGTCATAAGGAAGCAACAACAAATGTGATAAACAATGATGGTTGGTGCCTCCAGTGTTCTGTAGGACTCCACACCAATTGATGAAATTCTTGCTATGAGATTCAGTAATTCCACACATTCTACTTCTCATCTTGAGTTGTCAGATATTCGTATTTATCTCGCTTCCTGCAAATATCTGGGGCTAGTTTCACATTGAGGTGTTGAATCTCTACTAATGTTCGGGATAGATGAGAGTGCTTTCGAGCTTTCAGTTGGAGATAAAGGTGCGTGTATATGTGTGTGCAGCGTGCACGTGTACGTGTGTTTGTGTGGATGTTGATGCAAACAATGATTTTGAAATAAGAAGGGTTCAGTTTTATTACCTTTTTTCTGGTACTGGGAAAATCTTAAATTGGTTACAACTAGGTTATAATTTGTAAAAAAAATTATATGCATTGAGCTCTCCTTTCCATTTTCTTGGTGGAGCCAACTAGGGTGCTAGAACACACTTATCGTAGCATTCTTATGGTACTAGGATCCATGTGCTAAATTCAGTTTTTGGTAATATTTTAATGGGTTATAGCTTTCAGGGAAATGGAAGAGCATTTTCTGCTGGAGGGGATGTTGCAGCAGTTGTCCAATCTGTAACTCAAGGTAGATTTAATTATCTGTGTTGCCTGTCAAGGGATGAGACCAAGTCTAATGAGAAGGTTTGGAAGGTGCAGTGACTGTACCTGTCATTCTGACTGATGTCTAAACTATAAACTACAAGCTTGCTAGGGAAATTTGCTATGATGTTCTAAAAGAACCTTGTTTCAAAGTTCTTTGTTCCAAGTTGAAACATAAATATGTTTTTTTCCCTTCATCCACTTTCTTTCAACTGGGATTCTTGCTATCATTCTGTCAGGTCATTGGACTCTGGGTGCAGAATTCTTCCGGAATGAATATACCTTAAATTACATAATTGCAACTTACAGCAAGCCTCAGGTGACTTATCCTCTAACGTTTTATTTTTTTATTTGTGAATGTCATTTTTCTAATGCATTTCTTAGAATCATGTTAACCTACAATACCATGTTTGAAGGTTTCTATTCTAGATGGAATTGTCATGGGTGGTGGGGCTGGCATTTCAATACATGGTAGATTTAGAGTTGTCACAGAGAAAACGGTATGTTTCTTTAGCTAATGCATGACTGGAACATTTGCCTTTGAAGCGAAAGTAATAGTTAACTATTACTTAACTAAGTTCATGCTTATTATGCTGTTCGATTCAATTTTCGCAGTTAACCTATGTTTTTTAACTTTACCGAGGCAGTAGCAGATAGGAAATTTACAAATGGGTTAATCAGAAACAAGGTCATATACTTTTGTGCATATTTATGAATGTGATAATATCCAAAATCGAAATCTCATCCTGACTGTTTTGTAATATTCTTTTAGCAAGTCACTTTTGTTTCCACCGATTGCTTGTCCATTTAAATCAGGGCTTTTTTTTCAGCCTGTCAAATGATAATTAGGGTTTTGTCCTCCATTATGCACCAATTCATACTTGTAATATGTAATTTGATGATAAAGTTAGAACCTTGTACATGAGACTCTCCCGGTGTGGGGCCTGAGGGGAGGGCCAATATATACATTCTTTATCCTAGAAATAAATACAGTGACTATTTCATGACTTGATTCTTGGTCATCCACGTTGCAAAGAACTACACACAAGTTCTTCTACGATGTTTTTGCTTCTGTTTGGTGCAAAATTTTCACGGGTCTCCATCCACTACATTTTATGCCTACTTTTTTTTTTTTTGCTGTTTGTGTGTTTTATGGTTGTTTTATGCAAGGTTCGTGAAACTAGTTTGTACCGTTGTATAGACCAACCATTGGTACGATATGTACCAAGGGATGCCAATGTACCATATATTGGTATGCTTGGGTGTATCGACAGTATAGTAAAATTATTATTAAACATAGCTCCTAAAATTTTTAAAAAATAAAAAAAGTTGGATAAGGGTTTTTAAATTGTAAATAAGTATAAATTTAGTATAATTTTATAAAAAATAATCAAAATTAGGAAAGAATAATGATACATCTTTTTAAGCTTTTGAGGAGTAGCTTTGTGGTACGTTTCAGATATTTCTTTCGTTAATATTGAATTATCTACAAAGAAATGATTTGAATTGTTAGATTATTTTTAAACAACTTAAACTTTAAGATTTAAACAAATTAAGTAATTAATCGATGGATATTCCTAGTTCTATTACCGAAAAAAACGACGGGACTCCACGGGCGGTGGATTGGGGTCCTTGTTCCTATGTATCTGTATATCAATCTAATACATTTGTCAGACCCAATCATGAAATTGATCCCACGGCATAGTATACTGATATACCATATGTCATTGGTGCAACAATGTAGTGATGGTCGTAGTCTGATCATCGTGAATCATGTGTCCGAGGTGACTCCTGAGGCAAGGATGGTTGTGGTATGTATTCGTGTGGAGCATGGAGAATGTCAGAACTTCTATTTTCGCCATTGATCTACTGCTTCATATCATAAGATCGATTATCATACTATTGCTCGGAGAAGTATGACCATCATCATACTGCTGTTGACTATAAGATTCTCCATAATATGACGACTGTAAATACAATGAGCTTCACTCTGTGTTTACGTCGAGTAAGCTCTATCGCATTTGCTCAAAATCATTCACTGTTTTTCCCTTCCCATTTCATGTATAAACTTGACTAGTACCTTGTTAAGAGATGTGAGTGATAAAGAGTTTGAGTGAGTTGAAGAGTTTAAGAGAGTGAAATGGGTTGAAAGAGGGGGGAGGAAAGGGTTTAAAAATCCTTTCTTATGGTTCAAATAGTCAAATTGACCGTTTAAAATATGATAATCTGAGCCCTTGATCAGTGACGGTCGAAAATCGATCGTTACTGATCGGTACAGATCCTGTATCGCTCGATACAGGCTCATGTAATGGGTATTACCTGGTAGAGGGCGGTTCACGCATCGATCCCTTATCGGACCGGTATGTACCACCCATTTTGAGCGGTACAGCTCAGTACGATGAACCCTAGTTTTATGTAATTATATAGCAGGCTACTACTAAACTTGGAATGTTATCGATTAACAAATGACATGTTAAGTTGGGTGGAGCCACAACACGTGCTTTGGTGTGGTTGCGTTTCTGCTTAATTCTGTTGATACACTTTTTTGACCCTCATAATCCAACTTGGCAAACATGATAAAGCTACATTTTCAAATCCTATAATGTAACATGTTTGAGGTTTCTCTCTTTTTCTTTCATCACGTCAGCATTTTACTGTAGTTTCATTTACATCAACCTATTTTGTTTTCTCTACTGCATAACCCATGATAACTTTATTTTCACATTATTAGTGAATTGCCGTATCTGCTGTGTTAATTGTTACTGGAAGGAAAACTGGTAAAGATGTATGCCATTTTATTTATAGTATAATCAATATATGTATTTGCTGATATTATAAATTTGATCATCCCAAACATGAATACAAGTACTTTGATACATGCGTGGACCGGATATGTGGCATATTTAAATTCATGATGGATCATGTCCATGAAATCCTGTGTTTGTTTGTATTACCTACTCAAAGGATCAACTAAAGTACCAGTCATATATTCTGGTGCAGGTTTTTGCTATGCCAGAAACAGCACTGGGATTCTTCCCAGATATAGGCGCTTCATATTTTTTATCAAGGCTTCCAGGATTCTTTGGTAATTCTAACTTATTTGTCATGTATGTCATAATTCATATTGTAACACTAGATCAAAATCTTTATCGCACCTTTTACTTCAGATTTCTATAAATGTTTGATTTTGTCCATAGCTTCACTATTTTGTTTTAAAATCTGTTAAGAAAGATATAGTAAACAGCCTTTTGTTATTGCTTATTTATATTCTCAAGATCATTGAGATGGCCAATAGGAATCGTTTTGTCTTACATCTTGGTTCATATGATGCATGAGTCTGAGTATATAGTAAACAATAATTTAGTGCATGTGCTTATTATATGCATATGTGGCAATTGTTTGTTGTTTGGTAAACTGGAAGTATCAAACAATACATTGTATTCTTTTGGTATGACAGCACATTATGCTTTTTGGAAGTATCAAAGAATGCATTTTAATTTTAGGGCAAAACGAAACATTGTGCTTTCTTTATTCAATTCTTTCCACCTGCTCTCACTCATGTAAATCTACTTATGAGTGCAAGTAGAACCTGATATTTTCATCATTAAACTTTTTCAGACAATTACAAGTAGAAAAGGCAGTCAACTGAGTTAGTAGGATCTAGCCAGATATATCTTTGGAGGTTTTGCTGTCATCATGGCATTGAACTAATTTTAATTATATTTCTGTTGTTCACATGATGTACTCTCAACAGATAAAAACTCAAAACTCTGCCTCTGACAAGTAGGAAGAGGGATGTCTGCCGCTGGATCAACCAATTGAGTATATGACTGACTGAAAGTTCAAATCATTTACAACTTCTTCAAAATTTGTCGTGATAGCTATCAAGTTCTGATAAGGAAAAGGAATATAATCTGTTTAGTAAGAAATAAAAATAAGACTTATAAAGACTTGAACATTTTGGTTATTGTTATCATTATGTTTTGTGTAACTAAATAAAAACTTTAATTGATCTCCTTTTCCCCTTTTCATTCTACACTTCCTCAAATGTTTGGAAAGATTGCTAGATTATCTTTTTCAAGATGCTAATTTAGTCTTTAGCTGAAATTGTTGAATTGAAAGAATGTTTAGACATTTCTTATTGGTTTAATTTAATTTCTGCAGTAAGAAGACTGAAACTTGTCCCTTCAAAATGTAGAATATGTTTGTCCGTTCTGATTTGTTGTTTTAATTATTTGGAAGAGCTTATTCACAATCAGGAAAACCTGAATTCTCATGTTGTAATTCAAAAACTTGCTACAATATTTGTAGCTTTGACATCTCATAAAAGAGTGCTGTGAACTCCATAAGACTTGCTATAATAAAAATATATTTGCTAAGATTATCCTATTATATTCACATGGTCATTTAGGAGCTTCTGCAGTTACGCTTTTGTTCTTTGTTAACTTGACATGCTTTTGAACCTAGTAAATTTTTTGTTAATTTTGCTGAAGGTTCTCAAACAATTCTCTTTGTGTGTGCACAAGTTTACTGTTCCACTTTGTTTTGCCAACAAAAACACTCTTTGGTGGCATTGTTTGTGATTCAGTGAAGATCACTTGAGAGTTGATATGCTGTTCCATTTTGGATCATGACTGGTCATGAAAGTTTCTAAAGGCAGTTCTATTCATCTCTTTACTGTTTCCTGATGTTGTATTTGGTTGTCTCACTGAATCAACTAGAGAGAATACTTGGGCCTTCTTGTGCACTCGAACTCACCGCACTGGATGGTTATCTGATGCCTTTAAATCTCTTGTATGCTCATTTCCTTAAAAGATCCATCGTGCCAATGACAAAGTTCACTGAGAATGGTCGTGGCGGTTCATTTTTAGCATAAAGAAGGCATACACTGACAGTCCAATAACATTTCTCTAAATGAATTTACTAGGGTGGTTAGATAGTCAGACATAATGCATGATGAGAAGACTCCAGTATCTGATGAGAAGGCATAAGTTCAGTGGCCTCGAGTTTAAAATCTCCACTTGAAGGTTGCCTTTCAAGACTCCGAATGTTTTTAACTGTGTTCTCTTTTTGCATCATTGTGGCAGATATTAGTCCTGCTGCCAAGTCTGAAAAGATGCAATAGGGGATTCCATCTATGTCCATGATTCCAGGATGGCCTTTCTCTTGAAATAGATGCTTAAGTAGTAGAATGGACAGTTTTGGCATTACTAGTTTCAAGGAGGGCAAGATTAGATTTTAAGAATATGGTGACATGAGTGACATTATGATTAAGTGTGAAGGTGGCTTGTCTCCCCCTGAGACAGTGGTGTGACCTTCAACCTCTCTCTCTCTCTCTCTCTCTCTCTCTCTCTCTCTCTCTCTCTCTCTCTTTCTATTGCAATAAATGACTTCTTTGGTTTTTAGGAAATTTTTTATATATCTGGTTATTTTGATATTTCAAAGCTGGTTCAAGATTTCAATCTATATGCATATAATCAATGATTAATTTTATTCTCAGGGGAATATGTTGGCTTGACCGGTGCAAGGTTAGATGGGGCTGAAATGCTTGCATGTGGCCTAGCAACTCACTTTGTCCCTTCTATGGTATGATTTTCATAAGTTACTGTTCTTTTTAGTGTTCTTTTGTTCCTCAATTGACATATTGATCTCATAATGTTCCTGGCTTGCTCGGTTGCTCCTTTTTACTCTTGCCTTGTAGGGCCTCATAACTTTGGTTACTTATTTCCATCTATGTTACCAAGTTTGCATAATGTTCTTTAAGTTGTCTTTCTGAAGTCTCAGATTGTATTGATCTCTAGTATGGAGGGTTTTTAGAAGTCTTGATTATGGTGAGAAACGTATTTCTAATTCTTGTTTTGTTAGCTAACAGAATTTGACATACCTGGAAGATTTACTCACTAAGGTGGAAACTTCTGATCCCTTTGTAATCTGCGCAATAATTGATCAATTCTCAAAAATGGTGCCTCTGAAAGTGAGTAGTGCTTATAATAGGTAACTTAATGATCCATTACTCCCCCCTCTCCTCTTCCACATGTTTCATATTTGCTGGTTTGTTCATCTGTTTTTGTTGCCCCACCACAGTGATTTATGGGTGCGCATGTGCATTTATGTTAAGGGTATCTGGCATGTATACATGTTATTGAAACATATGTAATTCACCTACAGTCAGCTTTCTTGAAACAATCTCAATCACTTAAAAAGTATGCAAATCTAGTTTGATATGATGTGATATTTTCCCAGCTCACAGTGTTGTCAGCCGTTTTGTGTTCTATTTTGTTTCATGGATCTGTTGGAGTCTGAAACAATTGTTGGATTTGTTTATGAAGCTTTGCATATGCTGCAAAATTCTCAGAGATTTGTAAGTTCTTGGATCTTTTTTCATTGAGTTATTAGGGATTGTTATTTCACGATATTCTTTCCTTCTTTGTCTTCAGATCTTTCTCCTATTTATTTTTTATTGTCCAGGCAACAACAGATTACGGCTTTGTTGTTGTAGGCAATAACAGATTGTATTAGGCATTGAGAAGTAAATTTCAGAGAAAGCAAATCTGGTTTATAGTAAAAAAAATCTTTTGCAGCCTATCAGTAAAATGTTTTTTTTCTTTTTATTGCATCTGTTTAAGAAACTTCTTTTTTACATCTAAGCTAGCCTTGTAGTAAAGTGCTGATTTTTAGCATGGCAGCCTTCTTTTTTTTCGTTTTAATAAAAGTTATCTTAAGTGGAAGGACTAAGTTTCTTTTTTCCTGGTGAGCTTGGAGAAACTACATGTGGATTGAAAACCAAGTAGGCTTTGTATGAGAAAAGGCGAAACCTTGATCTAATTTGTAACTACATCAGTAAGGGGCATGTCAGTGGGGACTCCATAGTCTTTAGAGGTCAGATATACATGGTCATAATGTGGCAGTGTCTAGTGAAAGGGGACTACTCAGAAATGATAATGAAACATAACATGTGTAAGTGTTATTCATTTTGTCCTGAATAGCATATTGACATCTTTAAGTTTATGAAGTAAGTTTTTGAGAAATTCGATTAATATATTGTCCTTAATAAGAGTAAGCTTATATAGGTGAACAGATCACTTTATTGATACAACCTTTTTTTTTAATGCTTTTTTGTGTTCAAAAACATCAATTTTTCTCATGCTAAATTCATGTCATTCGCATGCTAAATTTTCTCATGCCTAATTGGTGATCCAGATATGTTTTTGTATAAGCGTTAAAATTTTTCTTTCTACGTCAAATCTATTATTCATTATACTTTTTGTCTCTTTAACAATTATCTACAGTCGTGATATTTTGATCCAACTTTGAGAAATTTGATGATTATCCAACTTTAATAAACCAAATTTGAAATATTTATAAATATGATCTTTGAAGTTCAGACTTCTTTTGATAATGAGAATTAAAAAAACACTTATATGATTCTTTTTAAGACATCCATGATTTGTGCATCGTTAAGCAGAAAAAGCAACAAAGGTTACCAAACATCTGCATTAGTAGTAGTATTAGTTGCCAGCTTGTAAGGTCATATAGGGCTAACCTGAACCTTACCCTAAATAAATGTGTTGGTTAGCATTTGGCTGCCTCAGCATTATGAGACATTATGCTTGAACCAAAACCAATGGGAATCAAGACTTCATTCATCTGATCAGACCAATGTGTTGATCGATTGAACTAAACTTGTCTGGTCTATGTTGGATCAGGTTGACCTGATTCGTCTTTGGGAACAATTCTTTTTTGCACTTCTGTAGGAAGAAAATAGTACAAATTATTCATATAAATGTAGCAGGATCCAAGTAATCTCTGTTGGAATGGATTATCAGACCTGCCATCAATCACGTAGAAGCTTTTTTTGGTGGAACTTTGCTTAATCTATTCATCTTAATTGCTTCTATGATTTTCTATGTTTTGATCTATTCATTATTAAATCTTCTGTTGTCCTTGTAGATTGGATATAATTGACAAGTGCTTCTCCAAAGAAACAGTTGAAGATATTATATCTGCTCTTGTAAGTCGAGTGACATCTTTCCATGAACATATTATAAACATCAGTTACTTATTTTCCTTTAGGTAACCGTGTTCTTTAATTTCTTCTTTCTAAAGTTCATCGATGGTGCATTATCACCGAGTTCACACCTGGTCAAACTTGCTCTAATTGTTTCAGGAAAAAGAATCTGCTAGCATGGCCGATGAGTGGATTGTGGTTGCAATCCAGGAATTGAAAAAGGCATCTCCTATCAGTCTGAAAATCACTCTTAGATCGGTATGGGGCTTTGTGCACTCTTGTTTTGACCCAGTAATTATATCTTTCATGTTTCTGTGAGCCCTCTTCTGTCAACACGCATAAACATTCATTATCCTGAAACCAGTATTTGATTATGTTATTAAGCTTCATGCCTATTAATGGATGGATGTGTATCAAGAGTGAAATTCCTGTATCTGCAAGTTGCTAAATTGGTCTCCCCTTTCCCTCGGCATGACTTGTGTTGACATATAGTTTCATGTGATGTCTTCAATATTTCATGTATAAATGTGTTTTGTTAAACTTTGTTATTATTATGCTGGTCATAGTCATACATATACAACAAATTAATTTTCTAATATGTGGCAAAGGCTGAATGCTGTGATCTATGTTTAAAATATATTAAGTTTTCTACATTAAAATTAATGTTGTTTGCATTTTTTTCATTAAAAAAGCTTATCGTTTGCTTCTATCCTTTGTTTTAAGTTCTATAAAGGAGGTTGCACTCAATGAGGACGACTAAGTTTTGATGCGTGTTTAAGTGTCACCTCTCTTTGGTTTTAAATTATTCATGGAATAGGTCTGTAGAAGTTGAAATTAACATAGCATATAATCACTTAAAACCAAGGTTCGCAATACCGTACTGTACCGGTATTTCGACCTGGGCTCGGTACCGGTACGGTACGGTATACCGAGTTGTCACGGACAAACTTCTAAACAGGATGTTTGATGTAATGCTTATGTATGTCCGTGTCTTTTGGTATGTTCATGCCTTGTATAGCATGTAGAGGAACGGCCGAAGGCTTAATAGTCCCATTTTAGTTGCGTTGGTGGCCTCTTTAGGCTTGTAAATAAAGGTTGTGTCATGTGGACACGTGCGAGAGATTTTCGGTCTGTAATGGACCATTTTACCCTTTGTTGTGCAACTGTTCAGAGCTTGTAAAGTCTGTTTGTAATTTGCATTGTCTATGAAGTGTTTTTCGGAGATGTTTGCTTGTGGATCCCGATTGAGGCGTTCTCTCTAACCCGTTCTCTCTTTTGTTGGTCCTAAGGGACAATGGGAGGCTTCGGGGAGGTTGACCTTTGCGGACGGACACGCAAGGGTGCCGCACGACTTAGGCAAAACCAGCTAAGTCCGTGACAGATGGTATCAAAGCGGGACAAGCACTCATAGAAACACTTAGCATGCAAATGTGGGGGACCTAGCGGGGCTGCATTGAGGGCAGTCAGCACACGCGTGACCGTTTGGGGGAAAATGGGCATGGAGATGTAGGGAAAAGGAGTCGCTCGGAGGAGCGGGCATCTGACATTGGCATTCGGAGGAATGGCCAACCCTTCGCGCAAGAGGCACCACGAGAACAGGCAAGCTTGGAAGAATACAGAGCACACAAAGGTTGGGATGGCTGAGTTTGAGCTATGGCTCAACGTTGACAACTATACTTGATGGTGCTCAAGACAAGCGAGACGCTTGGTAAAGGATGAGACCATGCAAGGTGGAATGAGTTGCTCAACGACCAAAAGAGTTATGCAAAGCTCACAGAGGTGAGGGGAATTGCTAACTCGAAGAATTTGGTACTCACGCATGGGCTTGTATACGGACGATGGAATGTTCGTGGCCATCCCATGGCGACCGAAACTCGGCGCCATGGAGCATTGAAACTTTCTCTTCGGCATGTGAAAGATACGTCCGTAGGAAGCTGAAGTATGCAACGAGTTCAGCATGTTGCTAGGCCTTGAGTGGTGCAGCAGGGGCTGTATTGACGTGAAGTCGCAATCTAGCAAGTGCGTTTGCAGGAGGCAGAACAATGCACAGTTTGTTCAGCAGATCGGAGTAGTCCAAGGGGATGGTGGTCTCCGAAACGAAGAGAGATGTTGCTCCAATGGGACAGTTATCCAGGAGGGATAAGTCCCGGCTCTCCAGAGGGAGAATCATGTGGGACATACCTCACAAGTTGAGGAGGAGTACCTCAACAAACAACTCCACGAAGCTCAATGGACTGAGCAAGCAGCGAGGAGTCGTTGCATGATCTCGCTCGAGAGAATGCATTGGTGGATGCATTGCGAGATCAAGTGGGGGAGCAACCCAAAGCAACTCAAATGAAGGCATACTTGGAGTTGATATGGAGATCGGGCTCAAGGGAGGGCTGACCCGTGGAATGGTGGGCGCGAGGGCCACCATCGACTCAATGCAAAAACGAGGAGCGGAGTAACTTGGGTGTAACTTGGCGAAGTACCCAAGCCGCATGAAGGGAGCCAGCATAGAAGTTGGAACATGGAGCAGAGGCACAGTGCTTTCCTTAGATAGAGGTCAAGGACATGAACTCTTGCAGAGGCAAGAGTAGGATCATGTTGTTCCATGGGTCCTTCATTCTGACGGAGCAGACTCATCTTGCATGGTGTCGAAGACGAAGGGAGCTTCTGGGCACATGCACCTTATCTCGGAGAAGCATTTGATGGAGGAACTAAGGCGACTCAATTTGCGAAGGCGAAATTGGGTTCAGAAGGCCTTAGCACGGGGCAAGAGGACTCAAAGGTGGGTACTCTTGAAGAATATGCCACAGTGTTGCCATTCAAGTTGTCATGAAGGAAGCAGTGCGCAGCGGAGATTGTGCTGGTAGGGGCAGAGACCCAGGACCCAGACAATGGTGCACAAATTACAGTGAAGTCGGTGGACTTCGGGAGCTACTAGGCGAC